ATCGGGAAGCGAAGCGACGCATCGGGATACGAAACGACGCGGCTCTTCACAGCCATGCCGACACGTGTCACGCATGCACGGGGGAGACCAAACGTCAGTTGCAACGCTTCCAATCCTCAGAGACGCTTCAACTTCCCGAACGTGGCAGATCTAGCCACCTTTGAGCACAACTCCACTAACCAACGGCAGGCGCACATTGATGAGTTTTCACTCACCTCTCGTACCGAACGGCAGGCGCACATTGATGAGTTTTCACTCACCTCTCGTGCCGAACGGCAGGCGCACAATGATGAGTTCTCACTCACCTCTTGTGCCGAACGGCAGGCGCTCATTGATGAGTTCTCACTCACCTCTCGTGCCGAACGGCAGGCGCACAATGATGAGTTCTCACTCACCTCTCGTGCCGAACGGCAGGCGCACATTGATGAGTTTTCACTCACCTCTCGTACCGAACGGCAGGCGCACATTGATGAGTTTTCACTCACCTCTCGTACCGAACGGCAGGCGCACATTGATGAGTTTTCACTCACCTCTCGTACCGAACGGCAGGCGCACATTGATGAGTTTTCACTCACCTCTCGTACCGAACGGCAGGCGCACATTGATGAGTTTTCACTCACCTCTCGTACCGAACGGCAGGCGCACATTGATGAGTTTTCACTCACCTCTCGTACCGAACGGCAGGCCCCAGAACCACCTTTGTCTTTGTCGATAACTCAAAATTTCCCCTTCTAGTACAACAACTTGTTGACCCATTCCCAGATTCTGTTTTTTCAAAATCTTGAGTTCTTCTTCCTCTTCTCTCAGTTTTTGCTCTAATTTATTCTGTTTGTACCATATCTGACCCTCCACTCGTACAACGACACGTGGATCTTATAAACTCGCCCAAGTACCCAAGGCCTCGGACAATCGGCATCGGCCACCGATGGCATTGTCTCAAAGCTGCGAACAGCCATTACGAGCCCAACTCGTCTACAATCGGCATCCCTTACCGATTGTAGAGAATCAACCTCGAAGTACCCGCCCAAAATATCTAAGGACTCGTGTCGACCTCAGAAGGCCTTCCCACGAGTCCCACATCGAAAACGAGCACTAAGAGCATACTAAATGCCCTCTATAAATAGGCCCCTTCCACTACAATACAGGGGTAAGACTTTTCAGCTTGACTTTTATACTTCTATATGGTCAACAGCAAGAGCTCTTAAAACAACAAACTTACTTCGGCATCGGAGGGTCTTAGGCTGGTTCCACACCGGTTCCATAGACCTTACGAGTCTCGACTTCTTTCTATTCAGGATCAGCATCCAAGGACAGGAAGAATCGGCATTCAATATTCAATCGATCTCTCGATCGTCCATCTCGATTGTAAGTTGCACTCATCTCTATCTGTTCAGATTTAGCGCCAACACAAGTCACAAGACAAGGTGTTGAAGGCACAAGACTTGCATGAAATTTGCTTATCGCAAGGAAATTGCCGAAAGGCATGAAACTTGGCAAGGTGCCAAAGTCACTTGCATGAAACTTGCATGTTGCAAGGAAATTGCCGAAGGGCATGAAACTTGGCAAGGTGCCGAAGGAGAGAAATACAAATGTGCTTTTATTATTATTTTTTTAATAGCATTTGTAGATGCTGACCTTGGTATAGGTTTTTGGAAAAGTGGCGGGCCCATATAGCCTCACAAGGCTTTAAAAAATGCAAGGGTTGCTGAAGCCCATGTGGGGTAAATGCCTTTCACACTTCTTCATTTAGGATCTATTTGTGGCGGCCACAAATACAACTCAGCCACATTGGAATGGGCAATGGTTGAGTTACTACGTAACCCTAAAAAACTGTCAAAAGCTCAAGAGGAGCTAGAGCAAGTCATTGGCAAAGGAAAACTAGTAGAGGAATCCGACATTGCTCGACTTCCTTACTTACAAGCAATAATCAAAGAAACCTTTCGGCCGCACCTAGCAGTTCCATTTATCCCCCGCAGAGCTGAAGCAGGTGTAGCAATCTGTGGCTACATTGTACCAAAGGGTGCGCAGGTGTTGGCGAATGCATGGGCCATTGGCAGAGACCCTAGCATTTGGGACAACCCTACCTCATTTATGATGGAGAGGTTCTTGGTTATGGATATTGATGTTACAGGCAAAAGCTTTGAGCTTATTCCATTTGGTGATGGGAAGAGAATCTGTCTTGGCTTGCCATTGGCAATGCAAATGATACACTTGATGTTGGGTTCACTTATAAACTCCTTTGATTGGAAGCTTGGAGATGATGTTGTACCATAGCAGAGACCATGAGTGTGGAAGACAAGTTTGGCCTCAGTTTACACACGGCTCACCCTTTGAGAGCTGTGTCCAAGAGGTGAACCTAGCTGATGATAATGGCTTTTCTTCTTTTCACTACCAAAAAAAAAAAGGCAACAGTCACGTTTTTTGAGTCACTAAATGCCAAAGATAGTGTTTAGAGAGTTGAGAATGTGTAAGAATGTGGGTTTTGCAGAGAATTCCAATCTACCATTGTATTACTAACATGGAGAGATATATACAATTGTACATGGTTAATTATTAGTTACAAATAAGATCACAAAATATGGAGAGTTTCCGGGATTTGTGTTTCCCTAAAACATGGATATGTAAACATGGAAATGTATGAGAGATGGTAGACAAGCTTTTCCTTGTTTTAGGGAAGTGTCTATGTCTTGTCTTTGTCTTAACTAACACTCCCCCTCAAGTTGGTGCAAAGATATTGTGGGGGTCTTTTTGTTCCAGCAGCCTAACGAATGGGCTTCGGCTGCTGTGAGAAGAAAGCGAACAAAAGAACCTCCTGAAGCCTGAGTTCGAGCACCAGACTCCCAAAAGAATTTTAAAAAGACTTGCTGAAGCCTTAGAAAAATACGTTTGGGTTCTTTTCACTAATGACCAGAAGAACGTATCAAAATTTGTTGATGACTTAGCATGAGGAGCTTGTGGCATGGGAGCTAAGCTTTCACAAGTTTAGCAATTTGAGAGAGAGAGAGAGAGAGGGCAAAGCGTGAGTTTCCTACAGAGGACAGAAATTAAGACTAGGGCAGGGGAAAATTAGAAGGATTTTATCTCAGGAAAAGAGGAAAACAACGGAGGAAGGAGCTTGGGAAGCTTGAGTAAGTTTCAGGTTGCTTGACAAAGCTTGGTCGAGCTCTGAAACTGGGTTGGTTTTCTGGGTAGCTAAGGTCCTCTTTTATAGCCACGAAGAACCCTAATTTTGGCTTAGTTTTTCCCCATCTTTCATTGTTTCGTCCCACTGTAACTTCTTTGGTGAATTTCTCCCTTTCAAAGCGCATGGGTAAGGAACCCTTCATGGTTCCAAGGGTTTGACACAGCTGGACCTCCCCTATGAGGGTGAGGCGCCACCTGCTTTTCTTATCAGTTTTCAAGATGGAACTCACAGAGGAAAAGAGAGATGGAGGGAGTTGTTTGTCCACTGGGTATTTCTCCTACATACATGGGTTTCCTTTGGTTCTTGCAATGGTTCCTTGTTGTTCACATGGGAGTTCTGATATGGGTGGAGCTCGATGTTGAATTTCTTATGAAACGCTGGCTGGGCTTCGTGTATAGCACTGGGGTTATTGATGTTCTTCTTTCCAGCGGCCCGCATGCTTTCGTCCAGCTGCTAGAAGTGGCTTATTTGTTTTTGGGCATTCTACCTACCGTGGATTTTCCTAAGTACTACAGCAGCCTATGGGATATTCTCCTAAGGCATTGGACCCCATTCTTCTCTCTCATGCTAACCCATGTATTTGGGCCCGGGGAATGGGCCTGAGTTTTAGTGCCCCCAAGTGGCCTAAAACTTCCATTCCTCGGTCCCTCAATGGGCCCCGTGACCGCTCGTACCTGTCCATACCACAACCTTCTCAGCAAGCCCCGGATAATTACGTGGCTTGGGACCACTTGAGCTTGTAGCATGGCATGATGGCATCGCGTGTTGATGTGTCGAGCTTGTGCCCGAGTTTTATTGCACCATATTAAACCAATATCGAATTAAATGGCACCGGATAGGTTTATGGGTGCAAATCTATGAAGCCGTTGCGTTTTTGGCATGCTTGCTTGGCTTGATACGTGGCCCATGGCTCGTGTAGGCGTATCCTATAATTTCCATTATGCCCCAATCGGGTTCCTTTTGCGATTAATCATTTGCGCCGGGCCAAGAATAAGCTTGGGCCTAGCCCCCTGGATTTTTGGGCCTCAACAGATATCACGCATGCCCAACTTGTCACGTGGGTCATAAAAAACTTTACTTGATACGGCCTTCGTTAGAATGTCGGCAAGTTGGTTTTCTGAGTTTACAAACGGAAACTTAATTATACCCCTTTCTAGTTTCTCTTTGATGAAGTGTCGGTCGACTTCCACATGTTTGGTACGATCGTGTTGTATTGGGTTATGTGCTATCTCGATAGCAGCTTTATTGTCACAGTACAAGTTTGTAGCCTTTAATGGTTTAACTCCAAGGTCCTTCAGTAATCTCCGTAACCAGAGCAATTCACACACTCCTTGAGCCATTCCCCTAAATTCTGCTTCAGCACTTGACCTAGCCACAACTCTTTGCTTCTTACTCCTCCAAGTGACTAAGTTGCCCCCCACAAATATAAAATATCCAGAAGTAGAACGTTTATCTGTGATGGATCCTGCCCAATCCGCATCTGTGTATCCTTCTAGGTCCATATGTGTATGTTTGGAGAACATTAATCCTTTTGCAGGGGCAGCCTTCAAGTACCTCATAATCCGTGTTACTCCATTCATGTGTGCCTCACTTGGTTGATGCATAAACTGACTCACCATACTCACAACATAAGCTATGTCGGGGCGTGTGTGTGATAATCAGTTGCCCAACCAATCTTTGATACCTTTCTTTGTCAGTGGGTACTTGATCTGGATACATCCCTAACTTGTGGTTCTGCTCAATAGGTGTGTCAGCTGGCTTACAATCAAGCATTCCAGTTTCTGTTAATAAATCTAACACATATTGTCGTTGGGATAGAAATATGCCATGTTTTGATCTAGCAACTTCTATGCCAAGAAAATATTGTAACTCACCTAATTCCTTCATCTCAAATTCACTAGCAAGGAGCTTCTGCAGATTCTTCATTTCTTCATTGTCATTATCGGTAACCACCATATCATCAACATAGATGATAAGGGCTGTAAGTTTGTCACCACGACACTTTAAGAATAAAGTGTGATCCGAGTTGCTCTGAGTGTACCCAAAGCGCTTCATGGAATCGGTGAATCTTCCAAACCAGGCTCGTGGTGACTGCTTTAGCCCATATAATGATTTTCTCAGCTTGCAAACGGTGTTGGGACCGAGTGTCATAGAGGTCCCTGGTGGTGGCTCCATATACACTTCTTCTTGCAAGTCCCTGTGAAGAAATGCATTCTTTACATCATACTACAGTAGTGGCTAGTCAAGATTTGCAGCCAATGAAATGAGAACACGTACGGGGTTGATCTTGGCAACATGTGCAAATGTCTCCTGGTAGTCAATTCCATATGTTTGTGTATACCCTTTGGCCACTAATCGAGCTTTGTATCGGTCTATGGATCCATCAGCTTTGTATTTAATGGTGTATATCCACTGACATCCAACTGGTTTCTTCCCTTATGGTAACTGAACTATTTCCCATGTAGAATTCTTTTCCAGAGCTTCCATTTCAATTGCCATTGCTTCAGCCCATCTGGAATCTGTTATAGCATCCTGACACTTATTTAGAACACATACAGTAGATAATTGATTGACAAATGATGCATATGACTTTGACAATCTATGAGTTGAAACATGGTTATTAATGGGATATTTAGATTTGGCAGTAAGGTCAGGACAATATTGAGGTTTGGGTTTTCCTCTAGTGGTCCTAGGTGGGAGAGTGTGTGGTATAGCATTAGGTGGTTCGGGAATTACCTCGAGTGTTTCCCCATCTTTCATAGCA